ATTATCCATAACGGTAGTTGTAATTGATTACAAATTAATAAAGCTAATTGATTAGGATATTGATTTGAATAAATACTAAAGCTTTAAACTACTCTCGAAACTGATGTATTATTAAAATTAATCCTGATTTTATATCCTAGGCATATTTTGTGGAAATATAGTTTCAAAAAATAGAATCTTATAAGAAGAATGTGTGTAACTTCTTTTTAAAAATGAAACTGTTTTAAAAAATATTATAATTTGTTGAAATTTAATTTTATTCTATAAATATGCATGCAACATAATACCTCTACTGCATTAAAAAATCAAGAATCTGCATAAGAATTATAAAAGAATTTACCATATGCATCATAAAAAAGAATTAAAGTATACGCATTGTGGTATACATAGAATGAAATCTTATTTTTATGTGGATTTATGTTATGTGAACATAAATTGAAATTCAAGTGTTAAGAAACTATTATTTATTTTTTATTACAATTTTCAAATATAAAAGTGATTAATACAAAATGGATTTTCATTTACCATCTCAATAGAAAAGAAAGACATCAGCGGAATTGAGAATATGTTCATCAATGTCAAAAAACATTGGTTGAGCAATCACTTTAGTGTCCAAAATTCTTAGGCATGTAAACAAATTTTTACTTTTCTATTTTAAATTTCATTAATTGATTTTTCCTTGAAAATTTCAGTCTTATCTAATAAATGAAAAATATATTTGAAGCTATATAAGAGAACTTGAGTTGACCTTCTCTTTTTTTATTTATCTTAGCAGAAAAACTTCACACAATAATATCAATGTATGGTTACATAATTTCTTATATTTTTATTTGAATTTTTTAATTTTTTAATTTATTTCATTCAAATTTTTTAAACACGTGATTTATGTTTTCTTTACAATATATTTTTTAATTTTTGAAAAATAAAGGCCCCAAAACGTGAGAGACAACATGAAACATGAATAAGGATATGCACGCAGCATAATACCTCTATTGCATTAAAAAAAAATCAATTATCTGCATAAGAATTACAAAAAAATTAACCACATGCATCATAAAAAAGAATTAAAGTATAAGCATTGTATTATACATAAAATGAACTCTTATTTTTATGTGGATTTATGTTATGTGAACATAAATTGAAATTCAAGTGTTAGAAACTATTATTTATTCTTTATTACATTTTTCAAATATAAAAGTGATTAATACAAAATGGATTTTCATTTACCATCTCAATAGAAAAGAAAGACATCAACGGAATTGAGAATATGTTCATCAATGTCACAAAATATTGGTTGAACAATCACTTAAGTGCAATGAACGTACAATGATCCCAAAATACTTAAAAGAACACCTAGAACATTAAAGTTTAATTGTTTAATTTCGTTAAAAAACACATTTTAATATTGAGAGTCGAACAAATTCAAAATTCAGATCGTTTCATGTTACTATATATAATGGTACATTTTATGAAGATCTAAAAAGTAGAATAGTATTCATATCAACCGACAACATAACTATAATACAACAAAAGCTAAACACATTTCCTTTCAAAATTTAGATCGCTTCATGTTAATATATCATGGTACATTTTATGATAATCTAAGAAGTAGAATAATATTCATATCAACCGACAACATAACTATAATACAACAAAAGCTAAACATATTTCCTTTCAAAATTAAATAAGCACATTGATAGTATAAACCATACTTCTTATCTTAAACAAAATTAAACAAACTCTTCTCGATTAATAGGAGAAACTATAAACTTATCTTAGAAAAAACATCAATGTCGTCTACATTTCTTTCTGAATATTCTTCTAAGCCAAGAAATCTTCTCTTCATTAACTAATCATAAAAAAATATATTCAAACAACACTAAAATCACCCAAAGGAAATGCAAATAGAAACATAGCCATGAACTAAGAAATTGTAGAGAGCGTATTTGCTTGTTTCAACAAAAAAAAAGCAGTAAATATATATATAATGAAATTCTATTGTTTCAAATAACTGTAAAAAATTTAAATTTTGAAAAACAGTAACCAATTTTTAATTTAATATTTTTTTATAATTATAAAAATTTGTATTGTTGACATGTGTCATTCTTATTCTAATTATTGATATGTGTCTATATTTCTAAATTTATTTATTTAATTATTTAAAATTATTTAAAATTCTGAAAATTTTGTGGTGTTGACATGTGTCATTTTTTCTTCTCCTTTTATATATAGATAGATCATATTTACATTTCTTTACTATGGCCTCATTCTGTATCTTTATTTTGCTTCGATTCTTCCTTTATAAGTTATTTACTATTTTCTGTTTTTATCTTATCTTCTGGATTTTTTCTTGCCTATTGAGGGTTTTATTGGTGTTATTATGGCCCGATTTCAAATCCTGACAAAAAATACTGCCAATACAAATTCCTCCTCATATTCAACAAAGAAATTTAACTAACGAAAAATTTATGTTTCGCATATCTTCTTCTAAAAGTTGAAATTTGTCACTTATCAAGTTGAGCCCTTTTAACTATATAAGTTTTTGGTCATGAGTCGCTCATATAGAATGATCTAACCCCTTTAATCCGATCCAAAAAGTTATCTGAGAAGAGATTAGAACAAGTTATCTCTTATTTTAATAAGAGAGGAACAATTACTAAGTAACTGATAATCCCAACTCCTCTTAACAAATAGATCCTTTTCCTTTTCATATGAAAAGAATGCAAGAAGGAAAAACAGAGGAAATATAAAAAACTTTTTTTTTTTTTTTTTGATAACCGAGAAATCCGTCTGTGACCTGCCCTTTGGACCAATCACAGCCTTCTAAACTCGGTGGATAATGGGCCCGCCCCTCTACCCTTCTACACTTAAATACCGGGCTTCGCTTTGCATGGTGTGGGGCTTGAACCTGTGACCTAAGCCACAAATCCTCCACCTTTTGCCACTTGAGCTAGGCCTTGGGGGCGAAATATAAAAAACTCTTTCTATCAAAAGATCAACAAAAAGTTCAACACAAACAGACATTTAGTTGGTGACAATAGAACATTGTTTCCTTGAGATTTAAAGCTGATTTGGAGCAATTTCTCAACAAAAATTTCGTCAACCTGACATTATTGTTAACTAGTATACAATCTTATGTCTATTACAAATTTTAAACGGAGGAGGTATATATTAATAATCGAGTTCATGGTCAAATATTAACAGATATTTAGGAAATTTGTCAGTACACATATAAAGTTTTAATTATTGAAATCACATAAACAGTTAGTAATTAAATCGCCTTGATTATATCCCTAAATAAGTGGTCATTTGTATAATGGATAATATAATAAGTAAACACCAACACGCAATCAACTCAATGAAAATAACCAACGAACAATTTATTTAAATTATTTAGATTACTTCACATGACATAAAAAAAAAAAAAACTATAGTACATACCCCAAGAAGAAAATATAGAACTATTTCCTTACTATCACTACTACAATTCTAATGAATTGATAGTGTTTTTATTCTTTCACACATGACACAAGATAACCACACCATTAATTTTTTATTTATCATAATTTCTATAGTACATAATGTGAGAAGATTTGATGCTTCTTAACACTTGCGCCAACAATAACAATAACGAGAAAAAGTGCTTTTTCTAATGCATTCACCCTTAATTGCCTTGGAATACTCTTGTTTGCACTTTATGAAACAAGTATCACTCAATAAGCAATAACGGGTACGATATTCCTTGCTCCTCCATCGACAAGTTTTGCCCTCAGCACCTTGCATCTCTGCATGACAAAATGGATGATGAGTAAGTTTATGGGTACGCGCGGAGCTAGTAAAGGTCCAGGGTTTCATCCGAACCTCCTTTAGTAGAAAAATTACACTGCTTATACATAGTTAAAGTTATGTGTTATGTGTATATAGTAGATGTTGAATCTCCTTCGACTTCTTCGTGTGTTCACATTTTTATATTTTGAACCCTCTTTATGAAAATTCTGGCTCTGCTTATATGAGTACTCCCCCATCCACTTTTAATTGTCATGGTTTCATTTTTTAGAGTCAAACTATAAGAACTATGACTAACATTTTACGATGTATTTTTTCATCATGTTGGTATGCAAAAAAAATTGCAATTTATAGTACTTTTCATATAGTTTTTGAATATCTAAATTTTTCGTTTAAAATATCAAATTAATGTAATCTAATTTGACTTTCGAAAAGTGCAACATGATAACTAAAAGTGGACGGAGGGATGCATATTGTTATTATTGTAAAAAAACAAAATAGAATTAAAATAATTTGAACGTAGTATTCAACGTAGTCATAAATGAAATGACAAATAAATAAAGGCGAAATGGTCTGGTAGACCCTTGTACTTGTATGTGTTTGTATTGTGAACCGTTCTATTTGCTCCTTTTGTCATCTGAATCCCTGAACTTATCAAAATACAATATTTTAAACACTATTTAAATTAAGAAGTACAAACCATTGGATGAAATGAGGAGGAAGCATAAGAAGTTCCTCCTTGCACAAAAGAACTGAGTTTACACACTTATGTACTTCCTCCGTTCACTTTTACTTATCAGGTTTCATTTTTAAAAAGTTAATTTTATCTAGTTATTGAAACTAAATTAAATTAAATTAATTTAATATTTTAAATTTTAAATTTAGATATTTGAAAATTATATGAAAAATACTATAAGTTGTAATTCTTTTATATTATGATGAAAAAATACATCTTAAAATGCTAGTGAAAGTCCATGCAGTTTGACTCTTGAAAAGCGAAATGTGACAAATAAAATTGAACAAAAGAAGTATCTAGACGAACGGTTAAATTATGATTACCTTGTTAGTTCAATTAAGTTGTTAACGTTGGTCTAAAAAAATAATAGTATTCTGAATTACGATTAGCTTATTAGTACAATTAAATCGAATATTCATGCCACAAGAGGGTGAAATGAAAAATTACAAAAATAAAAATAAAAATAAATAACCAATTGAATTCATTTTTGTTACAACAATGATCAACAGGGGAGAACCTAATATTATAATTCACCAGAGAGGTTAGTGTTATAGAAAGAAACTTCGAAAGAGATATTTGGAACTTTGTTTTAGAGAAAAAAGAATAGAGCAGAAGGGGTTTTGTTTACCTAAATAGCCGGCTAGATTTGTTATTTATTTATTTATTAGATATATAAAAATTATGCACTAATTATATATGAATTATACATATTCCTATATAATAGCATGCTATTTTCTTATTTAAACTAACAATTGATTGATCGATTATTTAAGTTAACATTCGAAAGAAATTAAAGAAATAAAGCCTTCGTTGAAATGCGATGCCTTCGTATTAAGATATGACACATGTTTCTAATTGCTTTAATTAAGGTAAGATTTGAGATATTTGACTTCAACATTTCTTAATTTTTGTGAATGAAACTCCAAAATTTTGTCAAGATAATTATTTAATTCTTAATTATTCCAAATGAATGATGACACATACACACAGATGAACGTGTTTCTTTTATATCTAATCAACTTTTTGAAATTATTGGAGAACTTATTCTGCAAGAAACCACGTCATATGTCATTTGTTTTGATCGTGTACGTTGTCGTAGTGCGTGTTCTGTACGAAAGAAAATATTTTCTAAGAAAATAAGTGCATTTTAAATTTGTTTTCTTAAATGTGGGGCTGGAGAGAAGAGAATACTCTACCATAGGAAAAATTGTGCATTATAGCAAACTATTAATTCAAAATAAATAATATAACTACAGTTTCATTTAATTTCAATTCGCAGCAAACTGCTGGCCATTCGCCTCTCTCCCCTCCCTCTGGAATCTCACTTGTCACTCTCCTCTTTTTCAGTCATCTCTTCCTCGCCTCTCTCACTTTATAAAAACACAAATGTATAATTTGTGTTTGTATAAAGTGAGAGAGATTGTATATACAAATACAAACACATATCTCTTCATCATATACACTTATAATTATACAAATACAAATCTTTCCCTACTCAACTCTCTTTTGCCCCTCTCTCTCTCTTACTTTATACAAACACAAATTATACAAAATACAATGTATAATTTGTGTTTGTATAAATCGAGAGAGATTTGATATACAAATGTTTTAACTTGATTCAATTGTATACGAATTCAAATTTTATGCAGACATACAAATACAATCATTGATACATATACATAGTAGTTACATATATACAATTATCTAACTGATATACATATCCAATTCACCTCTCTCCACTCTCTGCCCTCTCTCCTCTCTCTCCCAATCTCGCTTGCCACTCTAGCCTAACACATAGAACATATACATATACAAACAGAATTTTCATAGACACAAACGAATTATCGTCCGATTTATACAAATCAGATGCTCCATAACAAACATAATTTGGCTATGAAGCACAAATAACAAAACTGTAACTATAGAGCGCTAACATGATTTTTATCTTTGATATTCCTCATATTTACTCTACAATCAATCAATCAGTGTGACCACCAGCTTATAACTAATCAAAATTCCGTCTATTCAAGCCCAGACCAACACAGACTACATTTTCTCTATATTTCAATCACTTTATTTTTCTTCTTGTTTACAACATTACTTATTTGATTATTTTCACTATATTTAATCAAATAAATATATATATTCTTTAAACGTCACATATAAATTCAACTATATTTTTTTTGGATAAACAATTTGACTCTTATCGCATGGTTAAAGATACTTGTGGTATTATATATATCTTATTGATCTAGCACTAACAAATTTTATTTCTGTCAAGCTAATCAACTAGTTAACTTAATGATTGATATTGAAAACAATGAACAACCAACAATAATGTCAATTTAGGGCTTAGGCGGTTTGGACAAAAAAAAATTATTAAACAATTAATTTTTGTCATAGTTTGATAGGTGATAAATTGGGAGAACTAAAAAAGATTTGAAACATTTAATTAGAATACGTTCACACATCCTCTATAAAACACAAGAAATTTAATATAAGTTCAATAAAATTAAGTATCAAAGTCGATAGATTAAAAATAACTTTAAGTTTTAGTAAATATGAATAAATCAGTGTTATTTTTTATTTTATTTTTACACATACTTCATAAAATTTCTGACTTCGCCATTAGGGGATTAGATAGACAAAGTTATCCATCATATTAGATATCCCACCATATCTATGTAATAACTTATTTCATTACTGTATATATTATGAATAGTAGGAAAAATAATTGCGAAACTAACTAATAATTATAATCAAATAAAAGATAAATTAATTTTATATTTATTCCGTAATTAGTATCCTTTATCTGTCATATTAAATGAGCCCTAAGTTTCTCTTCTTGTGTGTTGTATCCATATTTTTTGGCCCGCTGATCTATCAAATCTGATATCGCTTGTTGGGTTAGATAAATTTAAAAATTATTCTTAAATAGTAAATATTGTTCGTTTTGAACTAAATCTATCGACTAACTAATTCAGACTCCCAAAGTTTATATGGCGTAGAGCTCGTGAGAAAGAAAATATTGATATTTTTTAATATTTATCAAATGTTACGGTAGGGGTGTACAAAATCGAATCGAAAACCAAACCAAATCGTAAACCGAGAAAAAAAACCCGACTAGTGGTTGGTTTGACTTGGTTTGGTATTGAAAAAAAATCCCGACTATATTTGGGTTGGTTTGGTTTTATCTAAAAAAAAAACAACTCGAGACCAAACCAACCCGACATTATATATATAATTTTAAAATTTTATTTTATACATAAAAATATTTACTTTGATATAATTTTTAAATCTTTTTCATAGTTTTTATCTTTTAATATATTATTTCAAGTTTGAAACTTAGAATTTTGAATGGTTCAATAAAAATTATAGTCCAAAAGCTTAAATCAAAATCAAATTAATACTAATGCAAAAAGAAAATCAATTCAACACTAAGAATGACAATAATATTGAATATTTGTTCTTTAGTTTTACATTGGTTTAGACAATTAAAATACATAATCTAATTTTAATTTCCTTTAATATTTAGTCATGTAACTAATACTTATTAAACTTATTTTAGCATTTTAACCAAAAAAAAAAAAAACTTATTTTAGCATGATTTAGTACTTTTAAATTATGATCATTTTTCATTATGACTTGTTAATTTGCATTTTACAATATTTGTTTTACACGATTTCATTATTATTATTTTTTTGTTGGATATTTTAGTGTCATTACTCATATCATATTTTGTGTTATTTTCTTAAGAAACACCTTAGATAGTTGTATTTTGGTAGGACTAAAGAAATATTTGAAGTACAAGTAAATTATATGTTTGTATGAATACTTTACTGAAAAAATCCGAAAATACGAAAAACCTAAAAAAATCCGAAAAAACCCGATGTTGAAAAATCCGAGTTTTATTGGTTTGATTTGGTTTATAGATTTAAAAATCCGACACAAATGATTTGGTTTGATATTTGAAAAACTCGAACCAATCTGGCCATATACACCCCTTATGTTACGGTATGCCACATATACTCTGCTAATCCAAGTTTCATATTTATCTTTTTATTTTATCAAAATCATGTTTGAAATCAACTTAATTTTAAGTCTATGCCTTTTGAACTACCTTTCATTTTACCCATTTTCTTTGTTGGGGGATTTAAGGTGTATTTGGCACGGAGGAAAATATTTTTACTAAAAAATAAAAGGTGAGTTTCTTTTTCTTTTTTCTTTTAAATATTTTTTTTTGTATATAATGATAGGAAGAACACAATTAATATAAAATGTTATTTATCGAATTTATTTTTGCTATTTGTATTAAGACAATCATGTTTTTACCTTTTTAAGGAATACCTTTTCTACTAAGGAAAAAATACTCTAAAATTTAAGTATAAATTATAGGAATCACATAGTGTAAGATCTAAATTACATCCTATCCCTACTAATTTTTAATTTACAAAAATCCCTTAAAAAAGGAGGCAGCCGGATACATACCTACCGTTCAGATACATTGTAAACAACTTCTTGTTGCGCTTAAAAAAGGAACAAATCAGGTAAAATTTATTTTTTCTTATTTTGATTTCCTTGATTAATGCACGTAAAATTTATTTTTACTTATTTTAATTTCCTTGATTATCGCCTAATTGATTCTTATCAGTCCATATCTCAATAGGTAACATATCACAAATTCCAAATTTTAAATTTACATCTTCTCCATTGAACAACCATTAATATTGAAAAAAGTGGTAATTTAAAAAAAAAACTCAAAAAAGTTGATGATACAAGATGAATATATCGATTTTGTTGAGGCATTCAAGAATTTGGGTGAATAGGTGAGTTATGAAGGTTACAAAAGTGATGGAATCTCAAATCCATCAATGATACAACATACAAGATGGATGGAGATCTACATTGATGCTACATCCGGTGATCTATCAAGCCCCATTAATCGATGTTCAACAGAACACGAGAAGATTTATCAACAATGGTTCAATTTTGTTGA